TCTTTTTTTTTTTTTTTTTTTTTTTTTTTGCCTGTTGGCTGCTGTTAATATTTTAAAAAGTTGAAGCACAGAGAAAGCCAAACTTCCAAGCGCTTGTTTGTTCCCTTTGTTGCTGCTCTCCTTTTTTGCCCCCTACTCTCCAGACCATTGTTGAGTTCTACAAATTTCCTGTAAACTTGCAGAGGAGCTGCATGTATGAAAAATGAGCTCCTGAACAGGCTCCTGAGTGGGAGCTTGCTGGAAAATGCAGTTCTTGGCAACTTTCCAGAAGACATGCAACAAGAACATTTGCAAGTCCAGGATTAGAACTAAGGAATTTCCTAGCTCTGACCATTCTGCAATTATCCTGGATTCTTCTAAGAATATAGGTGGATGTGGTCTATATTTCTTTTCAATTGTATATCGTTTGTAAGCTGGAAAAAAGTTACTCTTTTCCCCCTTGAATCTGCAAGTTAACATAACGTAACATCTGTTAGTTTCCTGGATAAATGTATATCCTGGGACAATGAAGTATTCCATTGAAGACAAATTTATCAAGCGTTCTCACATTTCTTTTAATCGGAGTTAGCTTCTTTTAAGTCAGCATTGGATCATATGGAACTCTTTTTTGTTCTTGTAAACACTCAGGATTTTCAACCTAAAATTCTGCAAGAATTATAAAGCCTTTTTCCTTCTTTCTGCGTTGTTCTTGCTAGATTTTGTGATTTTAACTGGCTTCCTTGCAGTCGGGAGTTGAAAACATACATAAACTCTCAGTCTTTTGGGCTGCTCTTGCAGAAACCTCATGCTCTGAGGGGGATACTGAATGATGCCAAGTCCTCACAGACACATCACAGGCAAGCTCTTTTTCTGTGAGCGGCCAGCAAAATCAGGCATGTTGGTATGCAGGAGGGTTTCTCAAACTGACTGCAAACTCTTGTGCATGGGAGTGATAGTAGGTACCTCTTTAGAAACATCAGTACGTGCTGAGAAACACCAGAAGCCTTGTTAAAATAAATATTAAAATATTTAATCTGTTATTTAGGACAGGCATTGAAGTGCCATAATTTTTGATTACTGTTGCTTGTTTGCGTAGGGCCAGATCTGCGTTGGTTGGGGATGGGGGAAAGACTCTCATTAACTGGCCTTAACTGGCCCCTGTGAGAAGTTTACTTACCTTGCTGAGGAAGGAAGGCTTAATGTAGAGGTTTAAAAATGGTTTGGGGTGAGTGAGACATTCAAATTCGGAGAAGAAGAGGCCTGCTAACCTATTTCTGTGTCACTTGGAGTTCAAGGGCTTGCAGGGTTGTCACAAGAAGGTGTTGAGAGGGTAAAGATAGGAATGTTAGCCATAGGAACGTGGCCTAAGAACGTGCTGCTTGACTGTGATGTGTGATATAAGACCTTTTTGTAAGTGGTATGTACGGGAACTTACTAGTACAAACGAGTGGTACCCCTTCTTATTTATGCCTTTTTATGTTCTCCCAGTCATCTGCTAGGACAGTTAAATCGATTCCTGAAAATATGGCTATCTTGCAGAAGGGTTCTGTGTTCACTTACTTCGTAATGTTAAGTCTGATGCCCTGCCCTGCTGGTTTCACTTCAGGTGTGGAAGGTACCAAACAAGGGTGCCGGAAGGTACCCAAATTAGAGAGAGGATTCTCCTCTCCTTCCAAAACCTGAGAAGAGGTGGTCCTTGCCTTAAAATCAGCTAACTAAATGAAACGAAGAATGAAAGAAAGGGCACTGTGCACCTCTGTTTTACAGATCAGGGAGGCGAGAGGAACAGAGCAAAAGAGGAGAGACCAGTTCAAGGTCCCACAGAATGCTGACTTTGACTGGGTTTCCAGATTCTCAGCCAAGCATGTTAAGCTACTTCTGTAACTTAATTTTGGTTTTAGTTTTTCATTCTGACAGTGTTCAGGGTACAGATACAGTTCTTCCCTTTCTACTCTTTCTACTCTTCTGACTTTCTTCCCAAGGGCTCTCTCTGCAGTAGCGCAAAGATCCAATGCCTGGGGATAAGGCTACAGCTTGCGCCTATTGTGGCAGTAGATCTCAGCTCTGCGTCTCAGGATCCGGCTTGTGTTTATTTTCTTGTTGTTGTTGTTTTCCAAACTCTTTCAACTCACCTAAATCTCTTCCATTTTAGTGGGGTACCAGCTGTGGTTGACTTTGCTGCGATGCGTGATGCTGTGAAGAAACTTGGTGGAAACCCAGAAAAAATCAACCCCATCTGTCCTGCAGATCTAGTGATAGATCACTCCATCCAAGTCGATTTTAACAGGGGGTAAGGATACAAAATGACTGTTACTTAATCTTAGTTAGGAAGGTGGATCCAGTTGCTGATAGCGAAGGTAGTAGGTCCATTGGTGATATTCTTAGAATTTAGACTATAGCATCATAAACCCTAAGAACTGATTAAGTTAGGCTGTTGTATCAGTTGCTGTGGAATAGTTGTGGGATTCTGTTCCGTAGCGCATCTCTTGGCAGCGTGAGCCTAGATTAAATGTTCATTGAAACAGGCTCAGTCTAGACCTGTGGTGATTACAATTTTCCATAGTAATACCTCATTATTATTAGTTGCACAGAAATAGCTTTTTTCCATATGCACTTTTTTTGACCTGTGGAGCTTTCTGGAAAGGTCAAGCAAGACTGCCTCATTTCTTCCTTATTTACGTAAGAATAGACTGGGCAGCCCAGCTCTGAGGAACGGTTTACTGATTCATTGCCTCCGTAGAGAAAAGCACAGTGATTAATATGGGTGCTATAAGTGTAAGAAAGAAACAGTGCTAGTCGATCGTCAGCATGCTATAGACAAACCCTCCCCAGACCCACACTGAAGTACCAGAGCTTCACTTAGGGGTTTCTCTACCCTCGCTAGCATCTAAATATGGGCCTACTAGACTACTCTTCCAAACGGATCCTGCAGTTCAACATCTCTCAGTGGTTTCCTTCCATCTTCCAAACTTCTAAAGTATGCTAATCTGCAGTTGCCTTGAGGGTAGAAAAATTCTGTGTATTTATTGTCCTTCATAGGAGATAGTTTTGAAGCTGGTCGCTTAAGTGATAGCAACGCAAAGAGGAAAATTTATAGAAAGGGGTCGTTAAAAAACATAAGAGGACTTTGAGTGCCCTTATTTCATGGTGTCTTTAAAGTAAAAATACTGAGTTTCCAAGCAGGTATGTATTGTAAAGCCTACTTCATGGAAGAATGTTGCTGGAAAGCTTTTGTTCTAGGTCTTAACATTTTTTTTTCCTTTTATTTTAATGGTAAACTCATATGGATACAAATTCTCACTGATGCCTGTCATGCTTGCCAGGGGAGAAGGAGGGCCGCAATTTTTAGCTTATGTAACCGTTGAAAATCTGCCCCCTTTTCTTAGAGATGCTGTAACTGTTCTTAATCTTAACATAACACTAAAGATTTCAGAAGCAGACACAAAACTAGAAATAATCATCGAAAGACTGATCTCTGGGGTAATGGCCATTTTAGTGTTAATCTATTAAACTAGGAGCCTAAGCTTTTTTTTTTTTATTTTGCGTCTGCATAATTTTGTAACATCTTTGGGAAACAGTCTGTTTCTTTATGAACAAGGTATGATTTAGTCTTTACCCTAGGACAAAATCAACTATTTTGATTCTTAGTCTCTGAGTATTTTAATAATATTCATTCCGTGCGATGAGCACCATCCAGGACTTCAGATAATTTTTTGCTAATAACTGTTTTTTGTCTCCGCCTTATTTTGTTTTTATTAGGGTCGTGTATGTGTGGAAAAAGCATTGGCCAGCCCTAACCTTGAGGTTTTTATATTACTCAGGCTTAAGCTGATTAAGTTGAAGGCTAAGTAGCTGATACAAGTGAAACGTTCGTTAGCTCTATGTTGAAACACAGATACTTAAGGCAACAGTGTGGAGCCACTCATCCGTGATAGCCTCTATTTAACCAAAGTTGCAGGGCAGTTAGGTTCCAAATCCTTTATTGCTGTGCTAGTTGCTTTGGATTTAGATGCTGAAAACTTCATACTGCTGTAACATATCGTCTAGCTTTTCCCAAGCTATAAATTCTAGGTCTGCAGCCCATACCGCGTGGGGATTAGTACTCAGAGTTGAATCAGACTGGAGGTACTATCTGTAAGACTTCTTAAATCCTTTTTCTCAGTTGCCTGTAGTTCACAGCTGCAGTGTTATTAAAACAGATGAGATTGACCAGCATTATCATTAGCAACTACTCTTCTTTCACCCCTTCAGTATATCGATCACGCACAAATTTCAGGTGGAGACTTTTGGTTGTGGCAGCTGATTATTTTCACTTGCAGGTCAGACAGCTTGCAAAAGAATCAGGACCTGGAATTTGAAAGAAACAAAGAAAGGTTTGAGTTCTTAAAGGTACTGAAAGAATTAATCCTAATTGCATGGACAAACATGAACAGATGTTCTTCCACTACTTGCACCGAAAACTTTTGACTGCGCTTCCTTCTGTTTCAGTGGGGCTCCCAGGCTTTTCAGAACATGAAGATTATTCCACCAGGCTCTGGGATCATCCACCAAGTGAACTTGGAGTACTTAGCCAGAGTGGTGTTTGATCAGGATGGTTACTACTATCCAGACAGTGTGGTAGGCACTGACTCACACACCACCATGATAGATGGCTTGGGAGTGCTTGGCTGGGGTAAGTGCACTAGCTTACCATAAATAGACTGCTGGCTGATAAAAGGCTGTATTTCAGAGTTGCACCTGATTTAAGCAACCTGGTAAGGTCTTTTACAATTATTTAAGGTTCTGTAACGAAGCTTCGTGTTCTGATAGCACCCTCAAATGATAAGAAGACTTCTGTTGAATTTTTTTTTTCCTTTTAAAATATCTTCTGTTTTGTATTTAAATCACAAGGAGTAAGGGAAGGAGAGTTATTAGATTTTTGGAAGCACTTTAGTCTTTGGGAAGTCAAGGAGTTGAAGCATCACTGAATATCCGTTCATTCCTTAGTCACTTAGCTGTTTTCAAAGCGCTACTTATTAAAAGGTATTGTAAATGCTCTTCTAGATTGAAGATGCTGAAAGTTGCTTCTGAGTGGGTTAATTATGGCCAGGGAGAAGGCTGTGTAGAACAGCACCACGAAGTACAGTCTAATACCAGTAGTCTGTAAAAATACTTCTTACAAAAATAAATACAATTTGTGTGTGTGTGTGTGTGTGTGTGTGTGTGTGTGTGTGTGTGTGTGTGTGTGTGTGCAAACTGCAGTGTTTGAAATGTTGACTGAACAAGTAGATAGCGAATTGGAAGCATTTGCAATCACCCTACACGTGGTAGGGAAAACTTCATTTGCACTTCTTGTCTTCCTGTGGTATGGTGATAGTAACCCAATTGAAGTAGATACTGTACAAATACCAAAGACTTTCAGTGGCTTTTAAGAGCTTGTGTTAGTTGTTCATGAAGATGCTTGTCAAGTTCTGAGTAGCACATGTGATACAAGTAGGACGTTGTTTGCTCTACCCTATATGGTACTATTGTAGCAATACGGATAGAAAATTCCTATGAAGGACAGAAGAATTTCTGCAGACTTAGTCATACAGAGTATATACCAGTTCACCTTTTTGAAGACTGTGAGATCTGTGAGATAGGAGATGCTTCTTTTATTCTACATTTGGTTGCACCTTGCATACGGGGCTCTCATATTTAGATGATGTTGCAATAGCAGTAACTCCTTGGAAGAGCAGGTCTGTAAACTTGGCCTCATTTTGTTCCAGAACTTGAAAATGAGTGCTGGGCACGGTCCATAGCTTCTATACCTAAAGCATACGCTCCAGGATCCAGCATTTCTTGCTAATAGCCTGTAGTGCTTCGTGCCTGCCTATGCTGGCCAGTTGGTCGTGTGTGCTAACTTGACTGCGTTTAAAACTGATTCAGATGTCATATGATGAGCAAAAAGATTTGTATGAGGGAACCTGTTACAGAATTCTCTTTTTGAATAGAAATTTGTGTCATTTTGCATAAGCTAAACAGGAGATTGTCTTTCAGAACTATTACTAGATTAAGTGGAGGTAAGGATAGGAGTGGTAGTTTAGCATACCTAAGCAGCTATTATGAGCAGCTTCTGTTAGATCAGTGTTAGTCAAGCTAAACAAAGTGTGAACGGAGGTTTGAGAGGTGTCAGATAAGGATGAGAGGGACTTTCTATGGGCGATAAGTTAGAAAGCAGCTGTTTGAGTGTCATTTTGCTATAAACATAATACTTTTTTGGATTGGATATGATTTTGACATCTTGCTATTTTATATTATTAAGTTACTAAGACATAGCAGGCACCTGAGTTACATTCCTTTGACACTGAAGGTATGTTTACCTAGAGGCTGCCACCTGCACATGCCAAAACTCTGTTGAAAGTTAAAAGACTTCAGGAAGATAGTTCTATTTGAACAAGTAACTTTTCTGTTGGCATTATTGAGAGCTCTCCATACCTTTGACTTTAAGAATCTTTCATTTCTTCAAAATAGCTTTATAGTTTTCATCATAATCATAGTCAGCATACATTTTACACACTGAAAGTTCCATGCCGTGTTAGTGTTACTGTTTTTTACCCACTCATTGCATGTTTAAGTTATTAAATAGAACTTTTATATCTGTAATTGTAAAAGCATACATAATATCCCATCTGCTGGCTGAGGAACAAGGATTAAAGTGTGAAACTGAAAGAGATGAAAAAGCCTGACCTTGCAGAAGCTTGAAGGAAGATGAGGAATGCTTCTTAGTGCAGGACTCAGCCCTCTTTAGGGCTGTCCTCTCTCCCCTTTCACAATTTAAATAATCTAGTAGGTAATTGCATTTCGTGGGTTTATTTCTGACACTACATTGTCTTTCTAAGTAGTCTGATAGTATAATGGTGTTGCATCCAGGTGTTGGTGGCATTGAAGCAGAAGCAGTGATGTTGGGCCAGCCGATCAGCATGGTGCTTCCTGAGGTGGTTGGCTATAAACTTCTGGGAAACCCTCAGCCGCTGGTAACATCCACAGACATAGTGCTTACCATTACTAAGGTAATGGGCGTGTTTACTGTTTTGCCATTATCACAGGAAGCTATGCATGTACTCTAAGACAAAGCTACTGTACTACATGCTTAGCACTATCTCTGCTTCCATGTAGGTTTTTTGTTTTTGTTTTTTTAAGCTTTGTCACTCCATGTGGGTTAGAATTAACTGTCCAAGGCCAACTGCAAATTTGCTATCCACTCTGTTTCTCAAAACCCGGATAAAATGGAATAGAGAGCTAAGATTTCATGGCCCATTCAAATCCTTATGAAAAGACCTATTTTGGAAAAATACTGTTTGTAAAAGGTTTGTTGTTATTTCTTCACCTTCTCAAAAGAAAAATGATGACCTTTTTTTTGGACGGTCTCACAGAGAAAAGACTGTGCAAAGATTGAAAACAGTCAATAAGTGCTTTAGTTTGATCGCTTTGATTTGCAAGTCTTTGGCTCGCACATCACATATTCATAATACATTTATTCAGTCTGTAACTTGTGACTGAATTAAGAGCGTTAGTAGGTCAGCATTTAATACTGAGATGGAGCTCAGAAATCGGATATATGTGTTCATCATGGGACACTGGCTCTTGAGGGAACCTGCAGCTGGAGAAAGCCAACTTTTTGAGTTCATCCAGATGTGCATCAAAATGCATCTTCCTGGATTTACTGACAGAAGACCCCGCACTATTCTGCTCTCCTCAGAAAATCTTGTTGAGAAAAATGCAGTGGTTCTAATACAGAATCTAATTTACATGGGAGGAAGAGCAAGTTCAGAAGGAATACATCACTCTATTTTTGTCTCATTGCTGCAGCTTTACAAGCCCTGTGTCCTCATCTTCAGAATGCAGTGTTTTCCAGAGCTTCCTGGTTTCAGAAGGCATTATAACCTTTAAAAAAAGGTTTTCCTGTAGTCAAAAAGATGTATTTTATAGCTTACATGCTCTGATCGTTTGACACCTAGCAATGACGTGGTCACTTTGTTTTTATTTGTTCTTTTTTTAATAACAGCACCTTCGCCAGGTTGGAGTTGTGGGTAAATTTGTGGAGTTTTTCGGTCCTGGTGTAGCCCAGCTGTCAATTGCTGACCGAGCCACCATTGCCAATATGTGTCCAGAGTACGGAGCAACAGCTGCCTACTTCCCAGTGGATGACATTAGCATTGGGTACCTGATACAAACAGGTGAATGTGAGAAAAGGTCATGACTTGTGCATGCAATTAAAAGCAGGGATCCCATCTATTGAGCATAGTCAACAACAGCATTGAATCATACTGTGTGCCTTCTGAGCTTCTGTGCGTTTTTTATCTGTGGTTGCTTGTTCAGTTGACAGCATGAAAGCGTGAAATGATCAGTCGTGTGTTTTTTCTTTTTCTGACTCATCGTAGTTCCTCATTTTCACTTGCTTTTTTCTTTTTTTTTTTTTTTTCCCCGGATCTGGCTTTCCCCTTAGGCCGTGATAAAGAGAAAATTACATGCACAAGAAAATATCTGGAGGCTGTGGGAATGCTTAGAGATTTCAAGAACTCTGCTCAGGATCCAGACTTCACACAGTTAAGAATACA